AGTTCAGTACTATGATCTTGCAGTCACACATTTTGGCTGATACATATTCTGGAGCCCAGTTTGAACCTCAAGTCATTTTTACTCTATTTCTGAACCATAATTAGAAAGCAGTTTTTCCTTAAGTTTGTACACAGATTTTTTTTTTTTCAAATTGTAAAATCAAAACACACTTTCCAGAGATAACCAACCTTTACATTTTGGTGAAATTTTTTCTGCATTTTTAACAAATGTTTTGTAAACTGGTTTTCTTCCATGTAATATACTGACAACAGTTTCCTGCATTAGTTTATTTTCAAATATTATTTTTAAGACAAAAATTCTATTATATGAATATGCCCAATTTATGTAACCATTTCCCAATTCTTGGGCATCTGGGGTTGTTCTCTATGATGATTATCATCTATTGATTAGTCCGTGTAACAAATGCTTGATTTTCATACACCATGGTAAGCATTGACTGTATAATGGTGAACAAAAATGAACATATTACCAGCATTTATGGAGGTTATTGGGAAAAACAGATGTTAATCAACATATATAAAATTACAACTGTATCAAGTGTTATGAGGGAGAGTTCATGGAGCTTTGAGAGTCTATGATGGGGAAGGCTTCCCTGAGGAAAGATTAATTGGAATTTAGGTAAAAGAAAAGGAAAAACATTCTAGGCAGAGGGAACAGCAGGTACGAAGGCCTCATTGTGGGAGGGAGCATGGCAAGAATGTAAGGGACTGAAATAAGGCCAATATGGCTGGAACACAAAGAGCAAGGCAAGAAGAACATGGCTCAAGCCATGACTGGACAGAAAGGTAGGGCCAGACTATGCAAGATGTTCCAAGACATGTACACGCCACCACATGAGACATGTAGCTTTGTCCTTAATCCTAAATGCAATGGAAAGCTACTGAAGCATATCAAGTAGTAGGGTGATAAAATCAAGTTTGCATTTTGAAAAGATCCCTCTGATTATAATGTAGAAAACAGAGTAGAAGGGAACAGAGTGGATTAGGGTAGGCCAAGATTAGGAGGCTATTGCAAACTCATCCAAAAATACTAGTAGTTTAGACTAAGGTGGTAATGGATAATGAAAAGAAGTAGATGGATTCCAAAGATAATCAGATTTTGCCAAAAGATATACATTTGTAGATTAAAATCCCTAAAACTAGAAATATTGGGTCAAGAAATAACATTTCAAGGATTCTGATATGCATTGCCAAGCTGCCCTGATGAGAGCAGTTTTCTCTTCATTTGTTAATTACCTTGTATCTGTTCCTCCATCAGAATTTTAAAATTCTTTTGAAATTCCTTTAAAATGACTTAATCCATACTTCCTTCATGAAGCCTTCCCTGACTCCCCTTTTTGCCTGCAAGGTGGTGGTCACTGAGCAGGTCCTCCATTAAGCCCTTGCTTTGTTTTTTGTTATACTCCAATCAAACCATATTTTACTTATGTTTACATGTCTCTCATCTCTACTGCATTGTGAGCTTCTGGAGGGTAAGAGCTCTCCATACTGATGACACCTAACAAATAGCTCAATATGCATAGTAGGCTCTCATTAAATGTTTACTGAATGAACTGAGTCACACACTACCAGTTCCTACTGTGTTCATAGATTCAAGAGTGCTCCTGCTTAGGCCTCTGATTTACTGATTTTAAATCAAATATAATAGAGAAAGCCAATAAAAGCTGTCACTCAGGGTTTCAAATACCTACTAATTAAAGTGACTAATTTGTGGTGAATCACTAAATCTCAGTAGTGTTCCTGAAAAATCTTTAATAATTATATTAAATAGATACTGTGCATTCTTAAAAATGGCTTTTTAATGGTTTATTAAAGAAAGGCTATGAACAAGACTTAGAGAAATTATTTGTACTTCTGAGTTGTTGAAATACGTAGTTTCCATGTACTCATTTTAAACCTAGTTAATAATCCAATTTGCAAAAAAAAAAAGGATATTTTAAGCAGCTACATACATCTATATAGCATTTTAGAATGATCAATTTCTTGTGCTAAAAAACTTGATTTCATATTTAACAGCATCTAGAACAGTCTACCAGTTTTCACTAGCTGGAGGACGATTTAGGAGGGGAAGGGCAGTGGCTCGGTGACCATAAGGATGGGCAGCTCCCTCTATGGTTTGTTTGGCCCACTTTGTTTCATTACTTGCTTTGTGAACATCTTCACACTCTTTACTCCTTCCTGCTCTGCATCTCAGCAGGGAAGCTTTTTGAAAGGTGATCCTGTTTAACCGGGTGCTAAGACAACTGGGAGCTAAGGTCGACCTGCAGGGAGCTGCATCAAGCAGCCAAGCAGGCGTTGTGATGAGGAAGCCGGACCGCTTTCTAGATCCACCTGAGTCAGGTCCTCACAATGAAGGATTTTACTTGAATTCCCAGAGTAGTCACACCCATATTCAAATCTAAGTGAAAAAAATATTGTCCTGTACTTTATTTATAACCTAGCTGCCCTCCAATAAAACAAGTTACCAAAAGTTATAATACTCAATACTTTATATCAAAACAATGTTCAAGAGATTTAAAAAATGAGTAAAAGAAAAGCAGAAGAGGTTTTAAAAAAATAATTTCATCACTCATGAAGAAAATTTTAGTGATCTCTTAGGAATCAGCATCCTCAGTCAGCAGGGGATTAAATTGGTCAGTCAGGAGTTACCATTCAAATTTGCACACGACACTTTTCTTGGTAATTTTCCAAATTTCACCAACTTAAGATAAGAGAGCTTTTAAACCTAAGACAATTTATTTCTTAAATTATTCAAAGTAAGTCCTCAAATCAGGACAATTGGAAGTTAACTGGACTGTTTTCTACAGTAGAAAAACTTTTCATGTAAAAATAGAAAAACTGAACTAGTAAAAGTGTAATAATCAGTTCAGAATTTATCATATAAATCTGAAATGGCCACTTTATTTGGGAGAAAATTTCTTTTGCTGTTACTTTTCAGGGCTTCATTTACATAGCGAATTCAATTTAAAAGCATCTTTTCTCCAAACCAAGGTGAAAATTAAGGACTTCCAAAATTAACTACTATAAAGAAAGTCTTAATTTATGGCACTTTTTGTAACATAGGTTTATCATGTTACAATATTTCATTAACTTATTTTATTAATTAGTAAATATATAAACAGCTTGTACTTTCAAACAATAAATGTCTTCATTAAAAATTCAGGCATTCAGACTTTTACTAAGCCAGAACAAGGACTTCTATGTATTAATTATTTTCAAGTTTTATTTCACAGAATGGACTGGACTAGTTTTTTGGGGGGAGAGAATTCAGAAGCAGATAATTATGCAGTTTTTGTTTATGGTTAATTAATACTAGTTTTTAGTTTCAAATTACTAATATTGATGTGCTAAAAATATAGCTTGATTTCTGAAAACTATACACTCCAAATTTATGCCAGTGACTTCAAATTTTTTCACCTGTTGAGGAAAACCAAAATTTTTGTTTTAAACTTTGAACTATATATATAGCAAATTCATTTTGATAACCTTTAGTAACTTGGAAGTTTGTGTTTCTCTGTAATCGTTTTATATCTTCCAATATATATACAAATAAGTCTTTTATATTTATTTACATTATGCTTTTTGAGATAGATGTATATGTATATGTATATGTATATGTAAAAAAAGTTTGGGTTTGCTTTTTTTAACACGGGAGGTAATTTATTGTAAGATGTCCAGGAGGGAAAGATAAGTATTTCATATTATAGACTACTTTACGTCAATTTTTTTAATATTGAGAAACACAAAAGTATACCATATTCCTTATTTTTTCAAGAATATTTTCTCACGTAACTGAATTGTTGCTGGCTCACAGTGTAACTCATTTATTTCCACAAACAACTTTCCTATAAAACAAGAGTTTGAACATCAATCAGGGATACAGACTTAATGACGTGTAGAGGGAAAAAAATTGTGAAAAGTCATCCAAACCATGCAAACTAATAATACACAGAAAGGCCGCTGTGCATCCTCTAGGCGTGTAAGGCGGGGATCTGGCTGCAGGGAGCCCCTCGATCAGCATCTGATTCTCTCCCTGCGCCCGACGTGAGAACAGACAGCGTATCACACTGAGATTCCACTGAGAAACAACGACACCACCACTCTGGTTAAAAGGGCGGAAAACCTATCTTTGGGAACACTATCGCCTCTATTTTCTGGCCTCCCAAGTTTCAGGCGTTACATTTTCAACAAATTGTTCGTAGCGCTTGTCTTACAAATCCCCACTTACAAGGCCCACAGCACCATCTCTTTCAGTTTTAAAAAGGAACAACCTACCAAACCTCACTAGCGACGCTGGAATTTTAACAAAGAGAATTCGCATTAAAAGGTCACTGCTCGGCCGGAGTGCGGCTGAGCCCAGAGACCGGCTGCAGCGGGAGGCCGGCCGCCGGGGAGGGGGCTGCGGGACCAGCCGCAGGCGAGAGCCCGTCCCGGAGGCGGGCGGCCATCGCGCCGACATCGCACGCCCGCGGGCCCGGGCCGCCGTCCCCAAAGGCCCGCCCCGGCCGAGTGCGGCGCCCACGCGGTGGCCCAGGTCCCCCGACCCCGCCGCCCGAAGCCCGGCCTGCACCCCGGGGCCCCGCCCCGCTCCCGGGAGCGCCGCCTCTCCGCGGGGCAGCGGAGCGCGCGGCGAGAGGGGCGACGGCCGCCGGCCCCCCAGGCCCTCCCAGGAACGGGCGCTGGGGCCGCGGGCTCTCGCGCGGCCGCCGGCCCGCCCTCCGCGGGAGGCGGCGCTCGCTCCCCGCCCGCCGCCGGCCCTGCGGCCCCAGCGCGCGGCGCAACCCCGGGCGCCCGGCGCCTGCCGGCGGGCGGGGACACAGCGTCCGCGCGGACCCAGGCTGGCGCCTCCGTCACGCGCCGGAACGAAGGCGCGGCGGCGGCGGCGAGGAGCCGCCGCAGGGCCGGCCGCGGCGTGCGCGCGTGTGCGCGGCGGGGAGGGCGGCTCGGGCGCCCCGCCGGCTCCCGCCCGCGCCCGCTCACCTGCCGGGGTCGCCCCGAAGACTCGCACCACCGGCACGCTCCGGACCGGGGCCTGGCTGCGCGGCGCCTGGCAGACGTCCAGCCCCCGCAGCGGGCTCGCCATGTAGTAGTCGGCAGTCACCAGCCTCACTGAAAACATGTTCGCCGCCGCTGCCACCGCCTCCTCGTCGCCCGCGACCCGGCAGCGGCGGCGGCGCCTTCCGCAGGGGCGGCCCCACAGCCGCGACGGCGCCCCCTCCCCTCACGCGCAGGCCGCGGGCCGGCTGGGGCGCCGCGGGCACCGCCGCCGCCGCCTCAGCAGCGCCCGGCGCTGGCCGGCAGGAGGGACGCCCTGGCGCTTCCTTCGGTGCTGGAGCCGCCGCCGCCGCCGTGGGTCACACAGGCTCCTCGGTCCCAGGCTGCGGCGCCTGTTGCCATGATGATGATGTCACGGACGCAACCACCGGGGGAGGGGAGGCCGGCGCGCGGCGGGGGGAGGGGACGCGGCGGGAAAGGGCGGGCGCGCCGGCCTCCCACCCCGCCTGGGCGAAGCGAGGGAGGCGGCGGGCGCGCCGCTGGGCCCTCTGGGCCGGCGCTCGGCTCGGGGGCTGAGGGCTCGGCCACTGGGTGGGGGGCGGCGGAGCGCCGAGGTCGCGGAGGGGCGGGCGTCTGCGCTCAGGTCCGCTGGGGCGAGTCGACGGGAGGGGCCGCGGGGCCGGCGCTCGTCTCGCCGGCGGCCATTTCCCACCTGCAGATGAGGCGGGCGCGGCCACGGAGACCGCCCCGCACACGGTAAGCGCGCCCGCCCGCGGCCGGCGACGGGCTGTGGGCCCTCCTCGGGTGTCGCGGCGGCTCGGCGCGCGGCCCCGCCTCCTCCGCGGCGCTGCGGGGTCTACGCGCGGCCCCTGCGCCCGGCTCACGGGGCGACCGGGTCCGCGCGGGGCCCGCCCGCCGCTCCTCCCCCGGGAAGCGAGATTCGGAGCTTCCGAGAAACGTTCGGCCGAGGCCCCTGAAAGCGCCCGCGTTAGACACGGCCTCCCAGGGTCGTCGCGAGTAGGTCGCGCGGGTTTGCCGCCCGAAAGCGGGTGGGCGGGGCCGTGAGGCCGAACGGCTTTACCCCGGAGGAGGCTGGGAAGTAGGGGCGCCGCAGAAGCCGAGCGGACGGGAGCTCCAGGCGGCGGGGTTTTGTCTGACTCGGCGCCGGTGCTGGGCGTGACCTTGCACAAATACTTCGGTGTCTTGAGGCCTCAAGTTTCTTCTAACGTAAAACTAAAGACACTCTTCCCAACAAAAAGATTTAAGCAGTGGGAGGCAGAAACCATGGTTTCAAGTGTGAAATACGCCCCCGAATTAGGACTTAGGACCTTACATGTGCCCAGATAAGAGACCACTCGTCCGCTCCCCTGTGTTGCACAGGAGCATTGTAGTGGTTAGTGGGTCAGCCTGCCTTTGAAGTGACGCGAGTGGCCGCTGTGGTTCCTCCAAGGGGCAGGTCCCTGGTGAGAAGCTGTCTGTGAATTCCGTCGGTGGTGCTGGTACAAACGTGGGCTCCAAGGCATTTGAGACTTTGATTATACTACAGTAATTAGCCTGCAGTTTTCATCCTCGGAGCATGATGAAAAAAGTAGTAGGTGCCAAGACCTCTACCAATAATCAGGAAATCACCTAACATTTTGAAGGGTCAAAAGTCTGCTTGATTAGAAGGCTGTGGAGGTGATTTTTAAAAAGCACTACCATACTAAAATGCGTTTCCTATTAAAATAAATATTTTGTACAGGCTGAATGTCAGATGCACAACACCGGTGATTCTCAGTATTCTATGGCACTAGAGTATTCTTTAAAATTTAATATTTTGGCCCGTACTGACATTTGGGGGGATGGGGCCTGGAAATCTTTATTAGCAACCCCACCCACCACTCTCATGATTCTTAATATATAATTGAGAATGCCCATATTATATTATAATCAAGTACCTACATATTTAAATTATACTATTCCTAACTAGAAAAAGGTAAAGGCATCGAATTCACAGATTAGCTATTTCTAGAAAAGGTTTTCAACATCATTTAAGAAAAGGCAGTTGCAGCCACAATTAAAATCCTTCAAAAACTCCGAAGAATGTTCACTCCTGAAGAAAAACATTTGCAGCATGAAATTAGATATCATGTCCATTGTATGTAATTGAGTTTAAGGTGATGCTCAAATTGAAAACTTGAGAATACTCCCCTAATTAATCACTGTCAAATGTGTTTTACAAATATATACTCCTAAAGTAAGAAAGTCTTGGAATTTTGAGTCAGAGAATGAAAATTTTAAACCATAATTTACTGGCTAAATGGGTTTGTACATATCACTTTATTTTTTGGATTTTGTTTCCTCGTCTGTGAAATGGGTAGTAATTACTGTTATAACTTCTCAGGGTTGTTACAAGGTTCAAATTGGGGGATGTATGTGAAAGAATCATAGTAATCTGTTGACATCCAGGCATTTAACTCACCTAAAAACAGTAAAATCATTTGTAACCGTCTGATCTACATACAGTGTGAAAAATGCCAAATTGAACCCTATACTTGATATACTTAAAGAGTCTCTTTTCATTTTGTTTTTGTTGATGGGCTTCTGTTTGCCAGGTGATTTGAGCTGCAGAAAGAAACAAAACAGGCATGGTCCCCACCCTTAGGGAGTTTACAGTCTAGCATCCTAGAAATGTATTTTAGTCATATCAGTTGACATTTTCTCTTCTAGTTCACCAACGTATCTTCATCATTCATGCATGTAGTAAAAATTCATGCAGTAAAGATGGCCAGCCTTCTTTTCCAATACTGTTCAATGCTGTTAGCATCTGCTTGTTAGCAATTTATAATCTACAGAAAGAAATGGCTACCATAATTTTTGGCAGTATTATAGAGCCAGTGTTCATTGAACCCCCTTCTAGCTTGCTTTTTCTGTACTTCAGAAGCAAGAAAATTAAAAGCTGTAGTTCCCAGGCTCTCTTGCAGCTAGAGTGCTAGCAGGAGATGAATGGGGTGGTGTGGTAAGGAAGACCCTGATTTGTAGCAGTGGCCAATTTCCATGGTGTGAAATTTCAAAAGTGAAATTTAGTGTATATGGCACTTTATTCCTCAAGGTGATTTCACAGAATATGGCATTGGTCAGGATGCTAACAGTCACAAGCTAGCTGTGAATATGAGCAATGTGATGCCCCAACTATATTTGGGGGATGGGATTTTCTGGAAGACACTACAGTAGAAGTGGCTGGTGGGGAGTTCTGGCATCTGTTTTCAGTCACAGGTGCTGACTGGCAGGGGCGCTGGAATGGGTGTCTGCTGGGACAGCCCTGTGACGTGGAGTCAGTGTTCTTTCCTGGATGTCGTTCCAGCCAAGTGTTGTCCGGGCCTGGTTCTCTGGTCCTCTTAGAGATCTGTGAGCTAAATACATGATTTGTGGGGATCCAGAGAAAATGAAAAATGTAGGGCCCCTTGTTCAAAAGCAAGAAAAAAGTGTCATTGTATGTACTAAAATATAAAGCATTTTTCCCCTTCTGTCATGTTTTCCTTGACTTAATGATTTTTTAATTTGCCTTTTAATGTCAAAATAAAGAAAAATTAGAATTTTAAGTCATTAGAATGAATTTTGCCAGTCATCTTTATATTGCACAATGCCATTTATAAATGCAAGTATAGTAGCATTTAATTCATACATGGAACCACCAAAATTACAAAATTCATATTTCATAGCTTGTACATGCATATGTATTTTGTGCTTATCAGAACAGTGTAAATGCTGCACAAAACCAAATCAACTGTTTTTATTTCCCTTCTTGACATTCACACAGCCTAACAACCTAAGGAAGGACTAGAAGGAAAGGTAACTATGGGCTGCTTACCTTTCCCCTTCCTTCTGGGTCCTCATTGTCAGCATAAGTAACAGCAAAGCGAGAAAGGATATGATAGGGCTCTTAGGTCACTTGTGTTTTACCCCTCAAGCAAGTTCTGGCTCACACTGAAAGCATGGCCTCTTGGAACTGTTGTACGTGTAACACGCCTGCCTGCACTCACTTTGTGACTCCCTGAGTTCCTGACCGCACAGACCCTTCAGAATCTTGTGCTCATTGGTCATTATTGAGGACTGCGTGCCAGTGGGGTGAGAGGAAGAAGGGGCCCACACATCGGCTACTCTGCTTGCACGTATGAGCCATGGTACCACTGGACGTCATTTATAAAACAAACACTCAAACATTAAAGTACTAAGATTTTCAAAGTGGTGACTGAAGAACATTAAACCAAGCACTGGGCTCTATGACTGCACAGTTTGTATGCCTGCGAGGCTGACCCTGAGCTCAGTGTTTCTCAAGGGCACTTCTGGTGTTTTGGGTGAAACAGTTCTTCACTGTGCAGGATATTTAACATTCCTGGCCCTGGGTACTACATGCCACTATGACAAAAAAAAAAGTCCCTATATATTTCTAAGTGGCCCCAAAGAGGAGTTACTGCTCTCCACTGAACTTGAATGGACTACACTTTGCAGTTAGGAGCCATGATCACTATAGATGCCACAAAGGTCATACGCAGTTTTTGCTAGTAATTCTCAAGCAGAACCAGAGTTAAAAAGATATCGAAATTCTCATATCTGGGAGAGATTATTTTTCCCCTTGTCAGAAAGATAATACCACCTACATTGGTGATGAAACAAATATTTGGCATGAAAGTTTCAAGGTGACCAGTGCATTTTAAGTGTCACATACATATAAGTGGTAGTTGACTCCAAATGGATGGCAATTTCTGGTATTTTGGAAAAAGAGCAGAGAACCACAGAAATGCAAAGAAAACCATCTTTACTTTCATTATCTTCATCAATTGGCTGATGGGGGTAAAAAGCCCCCAGGATTGCCATAAGGTAGGATATATTTAATATATTCGATTTTGAGCTTAGTTTCCTCGTGCGTATTTTTTTAAGTTTTAGTTCTTGATTTAAGAATATTAACCTTATAGCATGTTAGAGCTGAACAAGATTTCTGAGATCATGTCATTTCCTTTGTCCCTATGCTATTAGCCTTGTAGAGCTTAAAAGTTCTAGCTCTTCATGAACCTGTTTCTATGAACCTCAGTTTTCTCTTCAATAAAATGGGGATGATAATATGTGTTCTTAGAACTTAAGTCAGTTCACCACAACCAATTCATTAAGAAGTAATTTTA